TCAATACAGTCGAACTTCTTTCACGACCAAACCTCCCTAGCGACCTTCTACCATAAGCGCCTAGATATCCAAAACACCAAAATACGATCAAAATTTTCCCAGGCGAAGCCCCATAATAAACACCTCTCGAAAACAATTGCGACCACGTTTTGGCGTGATAGTTTCATAGTTTTCATTGTTTTTAACATCTTTTCAGAGCGGCCACTTGACACTTGGTGTGGTTCTTAATTGTTGGTAGTATATCACGCCACTCAATGTACACGAAAAATTTTCAGTGACAACATGGAATTACACGTATGGATAACTTCAAAATTACATGCAATAATAAATTCTCTGCCAAAGAGTAGATGTGTCGGGACCATTTCTCGAAAGAGACCACCTGTGTGTAGTTCGCATCCACTTTGGTGGTCGTTAATGGGAGGTTCGACTGTAAGGATAAAATGAGGTAGCACATCCGGCTAGGGGTTCTTCGTCTGCTACTTCGGATCGAACAGGATTGAAAATAGTTTCAAGAGCTGTGCAGTCGTAGTCAGAGGTTTAAAAAGAAATCTAAAAAAGACCCAAAAGGCGTCAAGATTCCATAGCGTTCAAGGAAAGCGTTTTCGAATGGGATAACTCGTGGGAGGCACAAATTGTATTTTAAAAGTACAAGATTTCTGTAAGCTCCAGACGTACGTACTTACATGGATTCACCTTTAGGGTTTTCGACAAAACTGATCATGAGAAATCAGTTGTAAAAAGCAAGTCGAAAATTTTCTTCTGTAGATGGTGGAGTACCAAGTGGACCTAGATTCTGTCTATGAGATTGAGGGTTCCAAACGACCAGTATACAAATTGGCCAAGGTTCACACGCAGGAGAGAAACAAATTTGAGTTGCTGGTTCAGGTTACTTTCGACAATGGCGAAGTCAGTGAGTTGTTCAAGTCTAAGCCTTTCTTGATCAAGACAAAACGAATCAACGATGAACCAGCAGGTACGATAATTGATTTTACAAGTTATGACAAAAATTGTATTAATTGGTGCATATTCTTAGTCGGAAAGAAGTATAAGGCATACCCCTTTCTGGTGGAGTAAGAGTACAATAGCCGGAGCCACCTCAATAACTTTTATCGGAAGACTTTGGAGAATGCTCAAGGTAAGACAAAATATAGCTGTCAGTTCCTGTTCAACGAAAAGTAAGTCAAGTGGCAGGGTCGTCTGCCGCTCTTTATAATGGAGACTTAATTGTTAAAGTATCGACCAGAATAAAATACAATTACGAGCCTACCGGCCTAGGTAATCATATTACTGACAGTGTATATCTACAAAAGCAGACAAAAAAAAACTACCAAGGCTAACTGACTGAATAAATGCACAATAAGGTAATAAAAATAGATCATAGTAATTTCTTAAAGCGAAAATGGATATTCATGCAGTCAAAATCTAAAATACAACAATGTTCTTTTTCAGTAATCTACCATCAATTAATGTTCGCGAATTAGTTTATGAAGCTAAACAACGACTGTCAATTAATCTAAAGTGGCTTCCGAACCTTTTTACAATGTCACGGCTTGAGTGTAGAGGAAGCTAGCAGGGTAGTTTGTAACACACTTTGTGTCGTCGAGATATGAGTTACCTTATTTTAAGATCAAATAAGATTGCTACTTCAATGCAAAACAATGGCTATTACTCAATACATGTAAAACGGTCCATAGTAAACCACTAAATATTCTCCTAATAGACCATTTCCGTTTTCCAAAAACTCTTACTTTCAAATGAGGCTAAGTGTAAAACCTTCGTTTTGAAAACGAGTTTTATTTGCAGCAGGATAAAAGATCATTTTGATATCAATGGCTTCGCACTTAGCCTCGCCTTAAAACAGAGGCTAGAGGCAACTAGAAATGGCCTATTGATTTTGCCGCTCATTCAAATACCATTTTGGCATTGATAGGTCGGCTTCTAAAACGATGCTTAGTGTCTTGATACTATGTTTTATAGAATCTGCCTTATACTCTAAAGAGAAACGCAAAAGACCAAGCACATGTCCAAGTAGCACAGCAAGATGGGTATCCCAAGGAAAGCACCAGCCAACAATGGTCACTCAGAAAACCTTGCAAACCGAGGCCGACTCAACAGGTTAGATCTACGGTCTTCTAATCTGCACCAGCTTCTATTTCAAAACGGTTATCAATTAATTGCCGAACGCAACTTCGGCACTATTTTTGCTGTGCTTAATAATGTGATTGGCTAAAACGGGTCATGCCACGCCAAGTTTTCAGCAATTCCATGCTTGCTCGCGTTTGCGGCAACGCTTCACTTCCGGGCTTCAAAGAATTTGTTTTTGATTGGTTTTTTTTAGATTGACTGTCTAACTGTAAACAACGAAAGAGTAGTCAATCTCAAGCTTTGAATTAGTTTTTCTCTTACGAGGCCCAATTAAAAATCACGCTACTCTGCTGACGACCAGAAGAAGCTCTTCCTTTCCCTCAGACAAAAATTCATCGTTAGTGAAAGTTCCACATCAGCACCCATGTACCTAAATACTTGTTACAAAGAAAATATCAATTTAGTAGCTTAAAAACTGTCTGTATATATGTTTATACTATTTACTTTCAATTAGATTCAATGTCCCCACAGTCAAATTCTTCAGTTGGTTCCGGAACAACGGCCAGAAGCTCTGAAGGTAATTGAACTAAAACCCATCATATCCCCTTCCTCGAGTAAACTAATATATTCCTTTAATGCTCAAGTTGGTTGCACTCATTGACTGCTGCTCCCTTAGATCCTAAAAAGACGCTTGTATTAACGGTCACCCATAAGCGGGAGATCACTTGATTCTTAGGAGAACAAAAGGGGGATCAGTCGTAACTGAGACCCTAAAAGGGAGGATCACTGAACACTTTGGAAGGATTCAGAGGGGGGACCACTCAAATCTGCTTGGAAAATAAAGACATGGGGGGGGGAGGGGGGATCGCGAAAGTCATCAAATGTTATTAGGGGGGATCACTTCAGTGAAGTAACATTCAGAGGGGGGATCGGCTAAATTTTACCTCGTTTAGCCCCAAATTCTCCGCAAGCCGATAAATTCCTTTTTTTCTTTACACCACCGGCTTATTTGCAACTTTTTTTTTTCATTTTCCATCAAGATGCGTCACAAGTCGACAACCTAGTTGTAAAGCACCTAAAAGCCCAGCAAGCAAATATCGAGAGGCTTAGTTTTGGTTGCATGATGCAGACATCCAGAGGTGATATCGCCTATCATTTGAGGCTTACCAACTCAGATGTTTACCAAACTCTCGAGGAGGGAGTTGTGGTCGGTTTCTTTCCGGACGACGACGGACCAGCTACGATTGAGCCGCTGAGCAGTGAAAATGCATCGCAGGCAGTAATGGCTGGAGTGATCAGTAGGTCAGCGTACGTTGAGGCGCATGCTCCGTTAGATACAGACAAAGGTGGGTGACAATTTCCCCCAAAGCTGTAATCCTTATTGTCAGGACCAACAAAAAGCAATCCTGCAATCTTGACGTTCAATTGACGCAGACGTAGGGAGTTTCAGAGAATAGCAGACCAACAAACACACATAGGTACAAAACACTGTGGCTATGCCTTAGGATAAACGCGGCTGCCACTTTTTTCCACAACATGTACAAGCATACTGAGTGATTTCATATCTAGTCAGTACTTTCGTCCCTGTTATATCCACTTTATGATACTGCGGAAATATTTCCAGCGGCGGAGATGCTCATATTTCCCTTTTTATTTGATCTATCTGACTTAAAGCATTTTTTTTAACAAAAAAAAAATGTAATACTGTGACGCTTTTTATTTTTTGTTTTCGATTGTAATGGGTGCTTATTGCTATGTATGGGGTTATATTTCGTTGTCCAAACACATCATAAAAATAATGCACGAATAAGCGTGCACAGTTTGACTACCTTTGCAGCTTTGTTTCTAATTGTTTATGTAGAGTGCTTGTAAACTAGCTGGATACGCTAAGTCCACTTTCCACTATAAACAGACCTTTAACCTTTAACCTTAAAAAAACACCATCAAGCTGAAACAGTGAGTTTCAATTTATTTACAGGGCAGACGGACATCGTTTGTGTGATCGGAATGGTCAAAGTAAAGATAGTAGGATCGGTTCGAACAGGCGAGCGCATTTACGCGTCAACAGGCCAGCCAGGAACAGGCATCCCAGAGTCCCATCTGCCCTTGGGAGCGTTCATTATCGGAAACCACACACTGCTTGGCATGGCTATGGAAACCTGTAAGCCTCGTTACCACGATGAGGTGAATTTGGTTAGATGTTTCGTGTGCATCGTACTAGGGATCAACAGTCACCAGCTGTCTAGTGAAGTGGAGAACATCTTGGAAAATATCGACATGGATATCAAGGTTGCCATTGGCAAATCTAATAAGACTACTTGTCGACGTAAGTCCTGCCTTCCCTGGTTCTTAAAAGGGTAAATGCTAAGAAAAGATCTCTTAACAGACACCTCTATAACACGTCTTTCTTAGAGAGAGTTGCCTGTCGACTGGATAAGCCTTACATACGGCACTCCACTCAATATAGTGTTTTCACATGACGTCACGGCGGCCATATTGGCGTCCCAAAACAATGAAACGGCGGCCATGTTGGTGTCCCATACCACTCCAGTGGGAGTTGAACTCTTTTCATATGCAAACACAGTTACGATTATAATCAAACCTCAACATGTTATAATCAAAACTGGAAGGACTCAAACCACTTACAGTCGACTGCCGATAAATCGAACCTTCAAGGGAAATCGAAAAAATTTCGAGTTATCGGGAGTTCGGGTTGTCGGGAGCTCGAAGAAAATAGCTGGAGGTATGGTGGAAAACAGTTTTTGCTGTACTGTGAACATTTTAATCCCATTTTATCGTAGAAATGTTGAGTGAAAATTGAAACCTTAAGATACTTTACGATTATAAATCAGAACGTACCGTAACAAAATTTAGCCTAAATAGAGCATGCGTTTTACTTTTTTCAGAAGTAAAGTTGTTTCAAGTTAGATTTGTGACAGACAACATCAGCCTCCACTAGTGAACTATATGTCTACAACACCTCAGTGGCCGGAGACCTCAAAATCCAATGTTTCGGACGCCAGTACACTGCCTTTTCCTCTACGTTTTAAGCGCTCAAAACGTGGTTCGAGTTATCAAGGGTAAAATTATATATAAATGGTCTGGGGGAAAACAAAAATTACTTCGAGTTAGCGGGAGGTTCGAGTTATCGAAGGTTCGAGTTACAGAGCTTAAAATTCCAGTAAACGTATGAAAGAGATCCAGGGGAAATCGATTTTAGTTCGAGTTAAGCGAGTTTCGACTTAGGGAGAGTTTGAGTTATCAAGAGTCACTGACTGTAATTACAAACATACAGTTGGGGCCGACGGATGGAGAAACAAGTCCAGCTACAGGAGGGAAGTAGAGAAGTTTCCTCCGGACTTGTAGTTCGGTCACACTCACCAAACGCACTGAGGAACGGAGTTCAAGAAGTATTTCAGTGCTCACAGCCGTGTTCTTCGTGTCGTCACGCAACGCTCTTCGAGCCTTGCGTGACGACACAACAAACGGCTGTGGAGCAGACGAAGTGCTCACGGGCTACAAAGTGATAAAACACATGAGAGTGTCAATTGAGTTCCTTTCTAATCGATCAACATGGGAAGAAAATAAACGTGGGTGACCTATCACACTTCAGCATCGGAAATAAAGAAAGTTCCCGGGGGACCTAATTCTGGATCCGAACTTAGATTTGTCTACGAACCTAATCTTACTGTGAAAAAACTTTCATGAATGAGATTTTCTTGAGGAGATTGATGCGTTCGATGTTAGGAGAACGAACGCTAATCTCATTTGTCTACCTTTCAAGGGCACACTTAAATTACATCACAAAGGCTTGCTTTCATTCCCTTCAGGTTCGCTTTGACAAACGAATAGCGTACACAAAATACAATGTAAGTTTCTGAAGGTTAACCTTGTAAATTCCTATGATTATTATCCTTTTAACAAAGTCTCCGCAGCGGAGTCCCATACCTAAAAGAAACAGTGAAAAGCTACCGATGCCAGGAAATTTGGTTATGACGTCAGCGTACACCGTCCGTATAGACCCCGGGGGTAGGGGTGAAAAAGCTTAGTAGGGTAGGGAAGGGAGTCCCAGACATATACGTTGCATGCACGCGTTTCGTTTTGGCGTAGTGATGCAGACTTATGGGTAATAATTCTTCTCGTTTAGCCTTGGTAAATCTATATATTAACTACCTTTTAATGATAAAAAAGTTGTAAATTATTTTCTTGTTGTTTCAGGAATGTTCCTTATTATTCTTGGATTCATCACTTTCCTTATATTACTTGGATTTTTCATGTACGAACTTCTTACACCAGGATCCCTCTTCCGATACTACCTATGTCGAATAGGGTCCTCTTCAGGACCCCAACTTAGCTGCATGTACAACACCAGTGAAGAGGTACGACAGCGCAACTAATCGCACTTCCACATGCATGGGCCATGCCTACAGTCAAATGTAAACTGCGAGCAAGCTCTGCAGGGCGCTCTGGCGAAGGGGCGGGAAAAGGAAGGAGAGCCCGCAGCTACGTCTTTGGAATTTGAATATCTGTATCGAAAAAGTCGATGGGAAATGCTGATTGCCGGAGATGACATTAGTAATGACGTCATTACCCTTGGCACGTATTTTTCAATGTTTGTTTCAATTTGCGTTGCTTTCCCCTTCGCGCTGATTGGCTGGAATCTGACAGCTCAGTCGACGGAGAGCCACAAGGGAATTGGAAGTGGAATTCAAATTTCAGAGACGCAGTTGCAAGCTCTCCTTCCTTCTCCTGCCGCGCCGCCAGAGTGCCCCGGAGAGCTTGCTCGCAGGCTTGAAGCTATTCCACGAACCGATATTCCTTTCTTGAGCCAATTCTGTGCTGAATGTATTATACTTAACGCCTTTTCCCGTGCCTACACAAAATGCTCCTGTAAAGTTTTGAAGAAGACATCAAACAAATTTCACCGGCAAGCACCTACCATAATAATTTTTTCGGTGATTTTCGCAGGCAGAGCATTAAAACTTGAAAAAGTAAGCACTTTCACAATCCATGTCGATCGTTACCATCCGTTGCAACAGACGAAAAAACAGTTTCAATGCCTAAATAAACCATTATTTTTGGAATTCAATTAATGTGAAAAAAGTTTTAGCCTTTCAAAAAGGTAGCAAATGGTGGGACACAGACCCTTTAACCTTACGTGGAGGCGGCATGGCCGAGCGGTTAGAGCGATGAAATTCTAGCTGGAGGCCAAGACTTCAATCCTTCCCCCCACGTGACCCTCCCCCGGCCGTCTTAGCTTCTAGCAGGATGTCTTCTTAGTCCTGAATTCAACTCCTTGCAGTCGCGCTTGTAAATACCCAACTACCGGTTTGACTCTGGCTAGTTGGTATTCCTAACCTTGTGAGCCACCACAGTAAAAACTATTGCTTTACCGTTATTAAGTCACATGAGACTCAAAGGCCAACATCTTGAGTCAAGTGGTCAAACGATTAGATAATCGGTCTATTCAACTTGACACTACAAAAGATTTTTGGGAAATATAGTCGCAGGAAATACTACTGATATGGAATACCTCTGCCTATACATAGCTAACGTATTTAATTTTTTTTCTGATTATTTTGGTTGCATTGTCTTGTAGGACGTGCATGTTCATTATATACCCTTCCCGTTCCTGAGACTTGAAGAAAAGATCCCATCTGGGGAGAAAAAGCCCATTGCATTGGGCAACGAAACAAGTAAGTTTCTTTTAAACCACCGATTTACGACTGACATGTGACATCAAACGCATTCATGACGTTCTGGGCCGTTCAAGACTGCGTTTCTTTACATGCGAGAATCGACCCCTTTACTTCCAGGCCGAATGATGGAGTCTTGTAAGCTGGTTTATAACGTTTGAGTCTGTGGACTACTCACACATAAGAACGGTTATTTGGGCGCGATTTCTGTAAAGGATCAAAACTGTACTGTACCGCGCCTATGTCGACAGTGGAGTTTCACAGATGGGATAAGTCCTGTGTCAGACTTTTTTGCAGTGTGAACCGGTATTCTGATCGTACAGGAAGTGAATAAGTGAAAGCGCGCTCTGGAAACCACTGAGATAGAAGTAAATATGAAGGAGTGAGGACTGTAATTTAGTTCACCAAACCCAGTCGGCCAACCGCACGATGTTCGATGAGTGTGAACGACTTGCTCCAGTCCTGGGCTCTTCCTGTTCATATATGATATACTATGGCAGGTATCTTATCGCGCCGACGAGAAATGCTATCCGGTATCGTGTGAACGGGCAATTAAGGTTTCTGGGAAACTGCCCACCTACCCCTCCCCTGAGCTAACATCAACACTTTGGGCAAAATGATGGGTTAGGGGAGGGGTAGGTGGGCAGTTTCCCACCATCCTTGTGAGCATAGTCGGGAGAGAAGGGAGGGAGGGAGTCATTTGCATAAAACGGAAAGCAGACATAGCTGCTTGCGTTAAAACAAGGAGGTGATTGTGTTGTAAGTAGTCAGATGTCACATGTGCGTCTGAGTGCATGATTTATGGAAATTGCCTCGGTACAAAGGCTTTGCACGGTGAAAGAAACTTTCCCTCAAACTTCATAGCGATTATTTGATTCCAGTTCGTTATCTTTGTGAAATGTAGCTAAAGGCGAATTCTGCAGGAGTTGAATTCCTAAGAACATTATCCAAAATCAGAGGGAGAGGAAAATGAATCGTACTTGTTTGTTTGTCTACGGCGCCCTCTACAAAAAGTAAAAATCAGGCAATTTCACGTCGAAGTCGAGCAGTAACATTAAAAAAAAAATAACCAAAAAAACAAGAACGAGTGCATTGCACGTGCAGAATTGCTGTTCTGCATGCGTTTGAAAAGCCTAGTTTTAATGCAAGCATGTTGTTTTCTTGACAGACTCAGTGTTCTACTTTCTCAACCTTGACCGCTGTGCGTATGGGGGGCGCACAGACGCTAGCAAGTATTTCCCAGAAAAGACCAAGCCTGTTCGAGGCCCCACGTTTGTGGCGTCGTTCAAGAATAACTGTTCGAAGATTTACTCTTATGATGGATGGGCGAAAAAGTGGAAATTGAAGGAATGCAACACAACAGACTTGACTATGACCTGCAAATGTAATGCCGCAGGAGTTTTTGGTTGTCAGTCTCTTGGACTTCTAATAAGCTTTGCTGCTTTTTGTTTGTTAGCCTGTGAACAGAGTCCCAACTGAAAGACGAGAAGTATTGCTATTCTCGCCGCGCCGCAACCGGAGGGTCTTTTTCAGTTTTACAAGCTGCTTTTTCGGTCTTTTTGAGCTTAGAGGTCTTTTTTCAAAATGCCCAAGTTGTTGATACACTGCTATTTCGTGCTATTACAGTGTAACAACTATTAATCTGTCTGGGCGAAGAAATAATTTGCAGGCCTGTTTTGTAATCATGGAAGGTTCAATTCTGCAGTTTTGTGCAGTGCTTTTTTTTAATTTAATGGTTAGACCATAAATTATTTTAATCCACGCTAATTTAACATGGGCGTGGTAACTTTTGATCTTCGGTAGAACATTCTATAAATTTCTTGGTTTTAAAAGTGGGTGAATTGTTCATATCACTTATTTGTTGTTGTTGTCGTCTTTTAATGGTGAAGAAAAGTGTGATGTCACAAATGTTCACATTTGCGAAAGTATGGCAATGGTTGTCATATTCAGATGAACAAAGCAGCCTTGCCAAAAATCAGCCTGTTAGTGCAAATAGACCTCTTTACCGATACGGCGGCCATATTGAATTAATTCGATTTAAGGAGTATTATAGGATGCCCAGGGGGCATGAGCACATTTCGTTTGTATTTTCGAGCGCTTTTCGGGACATTTTTTCTGAAAGTTTTCTCAGAATAACATTGTAATGGAAAAAAAGATCCTTGTGCCGTGTTTGGATGTAATAATGATCGCCTTTTTCTAGTTTAGTGTTAGAAATATGGTCTTTCATTGTATATTTCTCTGGAAAAAGGCGATCATTATTACATCGAAACACGGCACAAGGATCTTTTTCCCCATTACAATCTTAATCTAAGAGAACTTTAAGAAAAAATCTCCCGAAAAGCGCTCGAAAATACAAACGAAATGTGCTCATGCTCCCTGGGCATCCTATAATACTCCTCAAAATCGAAGTAATTCAAGATGGCCGCCGTATCGGTAAAAAGGTCTATTGGTGGAGAGATATAAGCACCGTATGCTCTAAGGACTCAGATCACTTTATATGTAGTCCGTAGCATAACGCTGCTTATTTCTTCCCACCAATTTGCACCAACAAGTTAATTTGTGGCAAGGGGGGTTTTTCATCTTGTTCTTTCTCGATACGCCAACCAATCCCATAACTACACAAATTTAGTTTCTATGACGTCATCACTTCGCTTCTCCATAGAATTGACCTTGAAATGTTATGATTGATGTAATAGGCTTATTCATAAGAGTACGTTGGGTCGGTTGAGCTAAACTGACCTTAAATTAAGCCAAATACTAAAACTAATTGAGAATTAGTGCACTGGTCAGTTGCCTGATTAAGTCAAATCTTGAAAAGTAGAAATTACTTATGTAATCAGTGAAATGAGTTAATCAAATGGCCTATGAGTACTGGAAATACTAATTAAATTGATGCACCGCTAATGTTTTTACCATGGCATTGACATGCAATATGTACAAGCAATTCCTCAGTGTCTGTATTATTTTATGGCTCATCTGATTAAAAAAAAGTATTCCCCCCACACACTGGTCTCAACCTCATGTATTTGTAAACTATACACAGTAATTTTCAAGGAGTTATAATAACTCATCTAGTGGGTTTACTGTTTAACTCCTTACAGTGGAGTTATTTTTTGGAGAGTGATTTTAACTCCAAAAAGGAGTTTAAAGAACTCTTTTTCAGGAGTAAAAATCACCCCAGATATTGAGGAGTTAAAATAACCCGATGAAAGGGGTTATCCTGTACCTAAAATTTTTACTCCCTTTTTGGAGTTATAATAACTCCCTAAAAATTACTGTGTATGCAGTTTAGGGAGTACGAATCGTTCCTTTATATTCCAACCTAATTTGATTTCAGACGGCAGGAACATGTGTATCTGACAAGGAAGATATTTACTATGAACATGAACCAACCTGCCAGTTCACGGTTTTGGAAGCAGTTTTAAGCAAAACGAAAAACATGGGAAACATTTTTGCTATTTGCAGAAATGTTTTCCTTTTCAGTACTCAAAAAATTAAACGTCCGCGAAAGCCTGAAGACTGGTACCAAAGTTGCCTTTGAAGAAATGGAACACGAATTTCCATTTGGAACGTTCCAAATGTGGAAAACGGGACTACCTTTATAGAAGATCTACATTACTCCTGGAAATTTTCGGTTGCATCTATCCAAAAAGTCGTGTTCAATTTCATCCTGGATATTCGTTTAAATACACTTAAACACTTAAATGAAGTTGTGTGGACATAGAAATAAACTGATCTGGAATGAAGGTGGAACAGATCCGTCAATGAAACTCATGTTACGATTTCACACCTCATGCAGAACAAACTCAGTTCCAAACCGTGATGCTTGAATTGAATGGCTCTCTGCGGTTGATTTTGAAGCGTTTGTTAGAAATCCCGGAGAATAAAAGACCATAGTTAAATTACGACAAATCTCTTAGATTGCTCACCTTACAACCTCGTCCCCAGGGCGCTTTTCCCTGGAAAAGCGCCCTGGGGACGAGGTTGCTCACCTTATCGTTGCAGGCCGGAATCTTTATCTGACAAACTCGACTAAATTCTCGGCCTGCAAGTTCTTTTCTTTTGCCACGGTCGGTCTCGAAGCCGAAAACGCACTATCTAGGTTGAAACATGAAAAGGTTTAGTTTAGACACAGACGGTATTACGAATAGGTAGGTCCGTGAATCGAAGGTCACAGAAATCAACCTCTTTCGGTGACTATATTTCCGATCCATGAGAACTCCACGCGCAAGCTCTTGATCACAAACCACTCTGCGCATCTATCTTGCGAAGTCTGGAGATGAGAGCGCAATACTCCATTTGCACTAAGAGGTCATGTGACATCGTTTTTTTATAAAAATGAAAGTTATATGATTTTGCCTTCGAAAAACGATTAGTGGGTCATATCTTAAACAAGATAATAGTGATTTGGTGTTTCAAACCCGCACCATTTTCTAAAAAGGAGGAAGTTCGTAGCTGGTCACGTGACCAAAATGTAATTTTTAAAATTAAGAATTACCTCTTTCTGAGCACAAATGTTGCACTTAAGCTTCAAGGAAAATGTTGAAAAGATGATATGGTAACGTTTAACGCACATCTGAGCGTAACTATCAAACGTTTACCAAGATATAACCAAAAAGTAGCTTTGGCCGCCGCCATGTTGGAGGGCAAGAGTATGCCCTCCAACATGGCAGCCAATACAAATCATACTACTTTGTTGAAAAATCAAAGTGCCATAAAATATCTGCCTTAATGCGTTTCCTCTCAAATTTCGGGTGTAAGCTAATTTTTATGTGCTCTGTCAATTTTTGGCATCAGCAGGATTCCAACTCATTGTTTAAAGGAAGCATTGGTAACGTGACCTCTAAGTGCCAGTTGCATTTCCACTTTTTCTCTTTTTTCTTCCTTTTTTTCGAATATTTTGCCCATTCCAGCTCTGTTATTAATAAAAATTTGTAACACGGACAACTTGCTTGCCACATCTGGTGACGAAAGCTTTAACCGTATATGAAATAGCCCCTGGCCTTATGGAAGCCGCATGTACATGTGTACAGATTGCAGGCTCATGAGTTAAAGAAGCAAGTAATGGTCGAAGCATCATTCGACCTTGAAAAAAATTATACTCTTAAACCGCTCGAACAATCGAATATGTCGATGGTTGTCTTTTTATCATGGGCAGCAACTATAGCCACTGTTGGATTTTTTTTCTCTGGAATGTAAGTACATGAAGATTACGATGTAAGGTTATTCTATTAAATTTGTATAAGCTTTAGCTTACCCCAGTCAGTGTACCATAATATCTCGTCAAATTTGGTTTTAAAAACTTTTGACGAAAGCTTAGAGTTTTCCATGTCACTCCCCTATAGGTGTTCTCTCCTTCCCGTATGTCGAGTCCATGTTTGAAAATTAGTAATACGTAATAGGCGTAACTTTGAAAGTGTTTGTTAGGTCACAAATATTTGACGAGGATCGATCTTGGCTTGAGGTATAGGTTGTATAAAGCTTCAAAAGTTACAAGCTTGGTTTTTTAGTGTTGATACCATGGAACAGTTCGAAAAAGACTTTAGAGAGTTTTTGGGAAATTTAACTTGTAAAAAGAAAACTCTCTCATACTGTTAGAACTTCTAGCATGAAAACAGACTGAGTAATATCTGTAATGTACACGTGTATTACTATAATTATGCATGCGACAGCGTTGGGAGTGAGGATGTAATTTATTCTGAACTTGTTCGGTGCATCAACTAAACGCTTTTATGATGAAATAGTTTTGTTGTTGATGAAAGACGTGTAAGGAAGGCACAGAAGCAGTACTCTAATCACTATCATTTTTTGATTTTGAGGAAAATGGGCTATTTTTTATTTACTTATACACTGAAAAGTTTAAAAGTTGATTCTGTCTTGGAGATTTGCACCCTGCTAGCAGAGCATTTGTTTGACTTGCTCTAATTTGGCATACTTGAGAAAGACTCTGCGTGAATCAAGTAAGATCCAGTTGTTTAAATAAATAATTGTGATAATCACCACATCACAAGTGTTGGGCGAAGAAAAATCTTGGTTCCCCAACAGGACTTCCCAATTGACTTCAAAATGACACAAATGACTTCCCAACCACTAGGCAGGTGCTGTACTGAGCTATGGGGAGAATCATGGAGAGCAAGGCCATATACTGGGTTCATATTTGTGACACATGTCATGCACTACTTTCATTTTGATGGCCTGAAGAGATTTTTCTGAAGAAGAATGACCTTGCTTTGCATGATTGCTTCCATATTTAACTGTAAACAGTAATATAGGTTAACTGGTTGATACAGGTTTGACAAAACTAAGAGTTTTACAAGAATATGAAGATGGTTAAATTAGAGCTAAATATCTATCATGATCTATCCCATGATAAATTGACCTCAAAGTGTTTTTACCTCTTGTGGTTAAAGAAAGGACAAGACTAGCAATTGCCATGTACAGTGTATCTATCACACTAGTATGGACTACATCTTGTCAAAGTGACTATTAAGTAATAGAGATGAAGGCAGTAAAAAATAATTTGTTGGAACCTCAGAAAAGGTACGTGTAACAGTCGACAGCTTATTAGGGGTGTGTTCCTTTCGGTGAATCCAAAAATGGATTTTAGATCTAAGAACGGATTTCGCGTTCCTTTTGGCAAATCCAAATCCGGATTTTTGATCTGGTGAATCCTTTTTGAAAAAGGATTCATTGGATTTGAAATCCGAAGAATCCAAATCCAGATTAACGGATTAGTGATCTACACTGTTCCATTCACAGTGGATCCGAAATTAGTCAGATGATCCAGTGGTATTTCCAGTTGAAGTATTCCCGTTGCTGCCATTTGCCGCAAAACATCTGAAAACACTAGAAGATTGTTCCTGGTACATTAAAATATCCATATACTAACCAGTTGTCTCTAAAGATTGTTTGAAATCAGAAATAAGTAAAAGTAACAAATGAACTGCTATCTAAATACAAACTTGCTTGTAGACGCGACAGGCACTCGATAAATCCAAGCTATGGAACTGGATCAAACTGGCCGACATTCTTTAGATAATTTTCAATTTTAATGCGCTTCTTTCTTTGCGTGTTTTATATGTTCCATCGTCGCTATTCAAACTGCCGACCACTAAATTCTGCACGGTTTAATCACATAATTTTTCAAACAATAGAAAACACGTCATTTCTTGAGAGGCTGTCGTGCATATTGCACGCGTTGGTAAAAGGTTACCAGGGTTACAAATCCAATTTCGGATTTCACGTTCCTTTTGACCACGAAATCTGGCAAATCTAGGATAAAAAATCCGTTTTTGGATTCGCCGAAAGGAACACACCCTAGAGGTGAATGCTTAATACAGGTCAGTTTAACAGTAATAAGGGCAACTGTTTCTGGAACGTTACAGTGACTGCCTAATAGAGGGTGGCTGCTTAAGAAGGGTTTGACTGTAAATATTTTTTTTTTCTTGTTTTACCTTTCTTGATTAGATTAACCTGTAAAAAGATTGTGGTAAATGCGAGTACTGAAAATGTTCCCCTCCTGCCATTTGTTACAACTTTTTTCAAGTAAGTGAACTCAACAATGTATTTAATCAAGACATATAGATTATAGGTGCCTTAGAAAACAAAATATAAATAGTTCCACCCTGTAAACAGTGTTTTGAAAACAGCTTCAAACGTCATTTGTTTCCATTTGCTGCATTGACTTTGCGTGATGTTTCCATAGAAAAATAATTGATTAAACAAAAGGCAAATTTGAGACCAATAATAATTTATATTGTTGAGAAAATCACACTCGTAATACAGGGTTGGGAGGAGGGTAGTGGTGGGATCCTGCAAGTTTTTATTGGAGAGGTCCAAACTTGAGCAGACCCTTAACATTTCCACCTATTTCAATCTTATTCTAGCTTGTAAACATTCCTCAGTCCTCAACAAATGATCATGGGGCAGGAACATGTGATGAACCCCTAAGAACATCGTCGTGGGAGGCTAGAATAGTTACAGTTACCTCTTGTTTCACTTTGTACATCTATGTCATTTGACTTTCAGTTGCTTGATGTGGACAAGTTATGGCATTCTTAAAGACCCTGCTTTAATCCTTGTTAATGTAATTGGAATGCTTACACAAGTTGCTTACATGGTCTGCTTTTTTCTTTACTGTAAAAACAAGGTATTTATTTATACGTAGGAATAAATAAGATACTATGCACCCTCTGATCAGCATGGAGGTGTGTTTCATGAACAGAGTTGTGATGTTCAATCTTTTGTGTTTCAAATACTGGTACAGGTTCGTGATTGGTGGAATATTTTGGGCAGTGATCAAAAAGAGTTTGTGCGTAGACTATCTGAATTTTAAAATTTCATTTAATGTGTGGTAGAGAGTGTACAGTGTATTGAAACGTTAATTTTGGCAAACAAGACAAAAATGTACTTAGCCTGCGTTACAGCCAGCCCATGCATTGTCTAGACCATAAGTAAGTTGCGACAATTGCTTTATTGAAAAGTAGAATCTATTTACTTAACAAAACTGCCCTTACACCCCGTAAAGTGAATTTGTCAGGTCAGCAAACAGCCAAGATTTATCAGCAATTGCTTTTGTACGCATTTGCCAGGTTAAATTTGACGCCTGACTAGCCACAGGTTAAAAAATGGTCAGGGAAAAAAATTCTACAAGATCAGTGAACATTCAGGGAATTTTTTCTCTAAGTCTGAGGGAAAATTTAAGTCTTTAAAAGAAGTCAGGGGGAAAAGTGTAATACATACATGCATCTATCCTTTTCCCTCCACTTTTATTGTTGTCTAACATTTAAAATTCTTTTTATACATTTTACAGACATGAATCATATATATTGGTAGAATATTGTTCATAAAAATTGAGCGATAAGCTTATGTTGGGTTTTCAAGAAAATCAATCCTTTTTGCCACGTTATGCCAAGGAACTATCAATTTACGCACACTGCATTTGAATTACTGAAACCATAAATAAATGGATGGAGAGGATGGCTGTGAGAGAAGTGTTCAGCCCATTATCAGGAATAATTTGTGAAAATGTTAATTGATATTCAGCTTTTGAGGGAAATTTAGATTGTTTAGGAAAATGTCAGGGAATTTTAGAAACCTCTGGCTGTGGCAACCATGTCTTACATGTACATGTAGTCATGCCTCAACACGTACACCACTATAGTGAGTGCAGTGTCCCTGTTGAATATGATCACTGTAAGCTATCTGGACTGTCGCCAAGATTTTTCATGAAGTTGTATTTAGACGAAGCTTCAAGCAATCGTGGTCAAACAGGTGCAAAATTTGTTTCTGTCATCTCTACCCTTTTCCAGTGTACGAAAGTAAATGCCCACGAAAATAAGTTTAGCAATGGTTCCTTTCCCCGGAATGATGGCCAGGCCTAATTAACTGTTTGTAACAGAAAGTTTATGACGCTGAACTCAGTGAAACGTTTCGTGTACAGATAACGTTTTCTAAGGTTAACTTCTTTTTTATATTTTCTTCTCTCTTTTTAAGGGTAAGGAATTGGGCAGTATTATATATGCAGCAATTGCTGCGGCTTGTTTGTACATATACCTGATGCATCTAGTCACGGAAGAGGCAACAAGGGTCTCGCATCTCGGACTTCTCTGTGCAATTGTTACGATTATAATGCAAGCTTCACCCCTTGCAGATGTGGTATGTGTATATTAATGGTGTTATATTTGTGCATGAGTGCACAAAAAGAAAAAAAAGAAAAAAATTGAACTAACGGTAAACTAAACCACAACGTATTATTAAGAGAAAGTTCTGTGGAGCCCTGTTGGCGTGAACCTTTCAACCAAAATTTGGGCAATTTCGCTCAAAGCTGATAGAACCGTTGTTGTCCCCCTGAAAGTGTATTTGGTCCGTTTTCTAAGTCTAGCCGCCCTGGTCTTATCCAATCTAATCTTTCCATTCCCGTTTTCTGTGCCACCAAGAAAGAGTAATGGGACAGAGGGGATATGAGGGTGTTGGCCAGGATATGTGAATTTCACTTCAGATATTTTTAGAGGATGTAAGTAAACGGAAGTACATGTATTATTCCTGGGACTTCCTCACATTTTAATCGATTGTTTGAAACGTCATCAAGTCCACTCGCGACCCGGCGTTTCTCTCCCTGTCACACCATTTTCTCACATCATATTCTTGGAAAGTTTCACCCTCCCCCCACCACCCCCCAAAAAAGTGAGTATATAGCGCAAGGAAGCGCGCAAGTATAAATATTTACTCGTGTCATGTACACGGTCGTTAAAAGCAGTTGGGACAAAACAAGCGGGAGTCGAGGCGTACATCCTTGGTTACACCCTACTCTTCCCAGGCAACCGTTCTCTTTTTTCTAATAAGAAGTGGCAACTAAGCATGAGCTATTAAATTTACGCTAAATTGAAAAGCAGTGGCCAGTACAGCAGGCTAAAACATGCTCAAAAATTCACAAGATGTTGTCCACAATTCTTTACATAACAGTGACCAGCCGCAGAAAGGGGTTTGTGTACCCATACTAACAGTTATTACCAAATGCAAATTATCTGAAAAGGGATAAGGTTTCTTTTTATTAAATATCCAATAACCTGGAAGTCTGTTCATGTTCATACGATCAGATAAAAGCAATAACGATCAGTGGACTTGATTCATATACATATATCTGATATATCTGTACGTCGTAACTAACCAGAGGGATATTTGCCGTTGAAACTTTGCCAGTGATTGGCTTATTAAATAACAAAAGCATCGTTTGTAAACACATGTCTTCCATTTTCTTGCAGGCCAAGGTTATAAGGACGAGGAGCACAGAATCGATGCCTTTTCCTTTCTCATTTATGATGGTTGTCGTGTCTTTTCTTTGGCTCTGTTATGGAACCGTCGTCAATGACAGAAATATTCAGGTAACAAGACACTCGTTAACCCCGCACACCCAGGGCAGCCAATTGGGACGGAATATTTATGGGTGAAATACACAAATGTACGTCGTTACAAGTTTACAAGGAGAGCGGAAAATACATCTGGTACCCGATATTGTGTTATGTTGGCCTTCGCTCCATTTCGCGTTGTCAGACGCCATTTTGAATTTTGAGCGTAGCAGGAAATTATCTGTATGTCAGCCTGCGAGGATGAGCGCCGCCAAACGTTTCCCCAAACTTACATAAATGAGCCTGCTCGCAAGCTGTCTGTTTGCTAACAATAATGGAAAATGGGTGCGCACAGGGAACCGGTCTCCATTTTAGTACTTGACGGTGACACACCCACCAGGGTAAGGTCTCGACTTTACCTGTGCCCAAATTGTACCTTGACTGAAAATATGGGAAAAGGGTCCATTTACATCGATACTCAGGGGCAATAACAGTCGGGCACTCTTCACGGGATACCAGAAGAGCACATGCCCAGGGGCTCTTCAAGTCTTAGCGATTTCACCCGGGAATGTGCCATCCCACGCTTCCCCTGGTTCGTCAAATGCAAATGAAGAAGCACATTGTAAGCTGACTGAATGCGACGTGTATTAAGTAACTTATTAATCTCAAAAAGAATCACTAGAGCGACTGGATTGTGATGTATAAAAATAATTTATTCAGCGTAGAACAATAAAATAATAATAATAATAATAATAAATGTCTTTATTGAATAGACAAGTAAAAGTACATACCTATATTTGCATGTTTAATATCAGTAGTTAAAAAGTAAAAGTATATTTAAAATACAGTCTATTAATAAACTACAGTCTATTAACAAAACACGCAGAGTTCGGCACATAAGAGAGGTTAAGCACCGCGTTTGCTGCATATCATTGTTTCCCGTTTCCCGTAAGCCGTGAGTAATCATTGCGTATTTTGCGTAAGCTTCGCCTATACCCCAGTTGGACTGGATACTCACCACTCCATGTCGTTAAACGAAGGGGAACATTTATCATCACAGTGTTCACAGACAGTCCCGCGGCTTTGCGTACACTGAAAATGCGTTTAACAAATCTTGCAACACTGAATTGCTTTCATTTACAACATAAAAGAAGACGTAATTATATTGAAGAATACGATTACCTAAGTGCATCCGACAACGATTAAAAAAGATGAGTTTTATTCACATTTTTCATGAACGTGAAAACAGTCTTTTAACTTTCAAAATGGCAACCGTCAAAAGTGGCTGGAAAAATTAGGTGTTTATCCCTAACGTTTTTTTTTTTAATAGTTGATACCAGTCTCAACAATGTCATTGTTTTCCCTTTCAGGTTCCCAATGCCTCTGGTGTGTTGTTAGGCCTGATTCAACTGAGCTTGTTCTGTGTGTATCCGTCCAAACCAAGTACCATGTCCAAAATGTAACTAAGTTAATTAAGACAGTATCATATTTAGCCAAAGGATGCCAGCCTGTGGAGAAGTGGTTAAAAGCAACATTTAATTGCTTGGGACTTGAAAGGGACCCAACAATTACTGGTGGTATTCTTTTGGTAGCCTGCATAGCTGGTAGTTTTGTCTGGCGAGCGCGTAATTGTGCCTCCTTCTCCTCGCTCCATTCCCCCCCCCCAAAACCGGCAGCTACGCAGGAAGGAGCCCAGGCCAGGTTTGTTCAAACGACGGATAGCGCTGTCCATCGGATAATTCTCTATCCAGCGGATAAGTATTAGGGAAAACAATTGGGATAACGCCATCCATTGGATAGATTTTTATCCAGTGAATACTGTTATCCACTTTTCGAAAACTGGGCCCAGAACTATGGTATAGGCTATTATATGAGTTGATTTTAATGTAGATATATCGAAAATCTCGCGTGCGTCATGATGCTTTCGCGAAGTTCTCACCCTCTACAAAATTAATCGGTAGAGGTGGAGGCTGATAAGGAGCTCATTTCATGTTTTCTTTTTAGTTCCGTATTTATTTCCGGTATTCATACGTAAGTTATGTGCAATTTTGAGCACCAAATAACTCCTGAATACTGGGTGGGAAAAGCCCATGTGAAAATGGTGGGGTGCTATTTATACCTTTAAAGGATGAAATACTTGTGGATTGGTACCGCTGTGACCGCTGTTACAAGGTACTTTTCCGTGTAGGATATTTTGGTAGGTCAGTCGATTTGCTGTGTTATCATTGTTGCTTCGAAATTATTTTTAGCTGTTCACCAAACGAAACAAAATTCCAGTATGTTATAGCATGTTTTCAAAATTTCTGACGAGCACCCCATGATGTTTGAGATGTCCAAATCCTAGCAATTTCCACGGTTTTTTCTCACTGACGGTAGTTCACCGGTAGACGCGGGCCTTTAGTTTTAGTGAACTCTTTTAATTTGCAACCCGGAACACCGGGGTTGCGGGTGGAGGTATCCCTATTTCTGATAAGACGGGGATTCAAGAGAGCTCAGAGGTGTACGCAAACAAGATAAGAGTGGTTTCGCTACATTGGTAACAAGATTACTGATTGGAGCATTAAAGTGGACTGTAGTTGTATCCCCAAGGGAAGCTGACTGGCTCATTTTACGAAAGGGCTATCAAATAATAAAACTATCAGGTCCTATTTTAATTTTAGGAATCGGAATTATAATTTAAGAAATGTTTTAACTTGTCCAGTAAGGATCCACAAGAAAAAAATAACTTTTTAAGATTGTGCGTATGACTGTATAATAAATAATACATGGTAGACAGCGGCTGTCACGGTTTATTTATTTATTTATTTATTCATTATTTTCTCTGCCAAATGGCTTCCTTGCAATGTTTGCGATCTCTGGAAAAAATCGGCGAATTTGAAAAATAGTTTCTCCTCCGTAGCAGGAGGATGGATAGAGAAGCGTGCCCTGCGTTTGTTGCCCCCACAGGGATTTCGCCCAGAAGGCGAAATCCCAAGGAGGCACCGTAGTAACTCGCGCGTTTATTAACGAAAGTACTTACAGTTGAAACATACAGTCAGCATGCCACAAAATGTCTCGATTTGCTTGATGAATCGGTAGGTAATAATGACGTTTTTATTGTTTGCGCCCGCAAGTACGAAATGGTTAGGATGACGTAAAGATAGGAAATCCCGAAGGGACCCCTCAGGTAGATTTTGCGACAGTTTATTATGCAGTCATACTTCGATACTCAGTTGCGTTACGTGTTATCAGTGACATTCTGTGGAGCAGTTGTTTTGAAAGTTATGGACCAAAAGACACTCGTTAAGCGCAGATGAAGTTATAAGGTGCGTATAACTGTGTATATGTATAAACGCTTGGAGAGTTTGCCAGACACGAGTTCACAAATCTTAGATAGGAAACCTTGCCAGACACTCTTTCTCTCTCTGACCGAAATAAGACTCAACCCCAAGCGGATCAACGGCTAGCTTATCACTGGCTAGCCTCCCCCACAGGCGTTTTTAGGGGAGATCGTATTTCTTCCCTCCCCACAAACGCCTGCTCAACGGAAAACAAAATTCTTTTCCCGTTGAACTTTCCAAAGTCTGGAAAGTTGACCTTGACGACCTTGACCGCAGAGCAACCCGCAGGGAGCTTTTCGCTCGAACGGCCCTAACAACGCCTGCGGGAGAAGCTAATCACGAGCAGAACGGTGGACGATAACAGAAATTCGCCGACAATCAAATTCTGTGCTGACTTACTGTATTTCCTGTTCACAGATGTCCTTCCGCTATAAAGTTTAAAATAAGACTGGGATGCGCGAGCGTGAATTGATCAAACGTCGTTTTAATTTCTAAGGCTTGCTTTCTCAGGCTGGCAAATAAAATGATCTGAATGTAAAAAGTGAAAGAGAAATAGCGAAAAATTCAACTTCTAATTAAATCTTATATTATGCAGTTTAGAATAAACTATTCTCGAAACTGAGAATGTTTTGATCAAAGCTGTGTAAATAGAACAGAAACTGTGCGTGGAACCTTGCGTTTCCTGTTCAGTTTTAGCTCACCTATTGTATGGAACATGTGTGAAAATCATCATGAATCGGACGGGTATATTTTAAGAGCTACTCAACGAGCAAGAATACTATTGACCGACAATATACAGAGCGGGGGCGGCTGTAGTGTCAAATATTACTAGTGTACCTTTGAAACAACGAATTGGCTTTCTGAATCGGAATAATTCAGTTGAAGAAATCTTAGACCTAGCCCAAACGTAGAACTTTTCATGACACGAATCAAACGGCTCTAATTTGGGTCGACCTAATTTAAGTTAAGATCATCGTCTGTTGGGTCAGAAGTCGAGCGAATCAACTGAGTCAGATCAGTTAGAAATTTTCTCCCGAACGAGGCTAAATATACATTACTATACAAATTTTTAATTTATTAGTTTAGTTCGTCGTATGTTTAAATCAACCTTTCCTCCGGAGACGATCTTCAGACGTTCTTTCTGTCTGAAGTGGACGGATAGAACGTGCTGGACGATCCAAACTCATTCAGACGAATTTAACTGAGCCAGACGTAAAACCTTTCATGAATTTAACTCACTAAGTTTGGTTCGTTTCATGAAAGGTTCGACGTTTGGCCTAGGTCTTAGAGCAACTACGATGGCGACAGCAAAGCCAAAGTTAAAACCTTTCAAAATAACAACTCTACACGTGAATGACTCTCTTTCGCACGTTTCTTACCGACCCCAGCGTTATTTTCCAATGCGATGTTTTATGGAAAGTACGAGCTCACGACCTCGAATTTTCCTTTCTTTTTCTGCATGTGAATGTGGTTTCTAAAGATTCTACCTTTGTTGGAAAAATTATTAATGGGGCTTAAAAGACCGCGACTCGGGTGCAGATATACAACGTACGGGTCTACCAGGCCAGAAAGTTTGAAAAAAACGTGCGGCGTCGGGGCGTCGTATTTGAGAAACTATGATGGTGTGTTTTCTAAATTAGATGTAAGACCATTTAACTAACCTGTTTGTCGGAAGAAAAAAATTGCATGCAGCACAAATGTAATAGAAAGCTTATGGGAAAAAAAGGGAAAAAAATATCCTGCCCACCATATTGCTAGGAAAAAAAATTCTTGATGACCAGAAATCACCCACCCCCACCCCCAAGAGTTAAATGGTCGGCCCCTAAATATAACCTGTTAGGGCTTGGCACATTACTGAATGTGCAATGTGTTTGTTCTGAGTCGCACGAACCTGCCACGAGGCTCGTATTTTCGTTTCGCCCAGTTAAATTATGAGTCTTTATTTCACCAAAAAATAAAACTACATATCTTATGTTACAATAAGAGAAGATAAAAACTATGATAAAAATATCTACGTTAAATGTATATATTAAAAAAGTGTATAATTACAATAAATGGAGCTTAAAACTCAACCTAATTACAAAGGTGCTCATAAAACGCTCTGTATTAATTTTCGGGCGAAAAACGAAAGAGTGCCTTGCATGATGGATATCCGCAAGAGAGGATATATCCGCCGATAGTTCGATTAATACATCATAGGTGACTCCTTCCCCAGCTTAACACTTGTAAATCGGATCATGGAAATCCACAGACATATGATGTCCTTTATCTATTAATTTGTACCAGATGATCAGTCTTTAATTGCCGTCGTTGAGGTAAAAAAGATCAAACATCGCATAGTGAACATCCACTGGCGCCATATTTTGATAAATTTGCATGTATAAGGCGCCGTTGATGGTCGTTGAGGTAAAATTAGATGAACCGTATTTTTCGGATAATGTATCTTAGCTGATAATTAAATGATGTTTGATGTGGCTGAGTACGTGACATGCATCATGGCAATGTCTACAAAAGCATCGTAAATCAGATCTTAACAGGTCTTAACAGTGAGCCCCACCAAGCCACAAGGAGGATTGACAAGTCTTGAAGCAAGAATCACTGACTGAAAAAGGTTAGTTCATTTTGAACTCAAATCCTTTTTAAATGCAACCGCAATGTTTCCATATCACAGGCCGACAAAACTTGGTATTCAGTTTGCACTCATATTATATGTAAAAATAATTTCACTTGTCTCAGCGTAGTCCGAGTACACGTATCAGGCCTTCCTGAGGGGGTAGGAGAGAGAAGGCCTCTCTCCTCTTCGCCTGATATTCGGGCTAGTGTCGTTGGCCTTGCTTTTGTTTGCAATCTGGGCTTCATTCATGAGCATTGTAAACGGTTGATGGATAATGGATCTGATCGGCCTTGTGTATTTTTAGACTAGTCGGTTTTGTAGAGTTCGTGCATCGATTCACGCATTATTTTATACCACAATGTTTTATGAAACCCTAAATAATTATTTTCTGTTATGTCATACTAATAAGATCAAGCATCAAGTTAAGATTTACCAAAAGTGTGTAAACCGTGAAAGAAAAAATTCTTTGAAAATAATTCAGGGCTGTGCTCTAGCAGAGCCCTGTGGCCCCTGGCGCCTAACTCTTTGCCCTCGGCCGACTAGAAAATCTCAGATTTTTCATACAAATCATATGCTGGGCACCCTAGATTTTACAGTTTCAGAGCACTGGGCTCCCTTCAATTTTCGTTAGAGCACAGCCTTGATAATTGTATCTGGCCTAAAGTGTATAAAATTCTGGATTTTCAGCTACCTTTCCGCTGTCAGAATAAGACATGATGACCGGCATACGAATAATTAAAATACTGTTTTTAAGACTTGTCTAGATCCCTGAGGGGAACAACAAAAGGCAAGTGGGCCTTTTTAGTGATCCTCCGGTAGTTTTCTTCCTGCGGTAAAAATATTGTGCAATATACTGACACCTACGAGTATAGATCGTTTTCACATGACGTCCCGGCTATATTGCGTACCAAACAATGAATCGGCGGCCATGTTTGTGTACCAAAAAAATCCTGTGGGAATTGAACTCTTTTCACATTAAGACTTTCTTTTATTCCAAGCAATTTGCAAAGCTGCTGACCAAGTGTCTGAAAACGATATATTAAAAGAGTTAAAGATTAACGTGAAAGAAGACGTCTGCTTACGAACAATTAAATGGTCTTTGTTAGTTCTTGACTGTCTTAATTCGTCTTACCTTGGCCTAATGTCAATCTGAAGTTGATATTGAGCCTATCGGACTTATTAATTTTTTTTTTTTTTAAGTTGTTGCATATGCAAATTGCTGTATTATGGTTTTTGTTTTACTCACGTACACTTGAGCGCCCTTTTTCCTTTTTTTTTTTTTTTGTATATATTTTTATCTTTGTTCATTTGATAAAAGAGAACTTAAAGGGGAAGAGAACGACTTACAACTAATGAAAAAGGATATACCACTTTATTGTAATGTAAATTTGCAAATGCTTCTCTAAGCCAAACCTACTTTATAAAAGTCTGTTCAATTTTCATCCTGAGAGTTGATGTGAAGGACATCTTGTCATGCAAATTTTTCACTTAAATGTTTGGATTGATATTTCTTTTATTTACAGCATAAGCGACCATAAATATATCTTTAAAAAAAAGTGATGATATAACCTGGCACAAATTTGCTTTAAAAATGTGGCACCTCCATCGCATGGGGAACGTTATCCAAATGAACGTCGATTTAAGTCGTTACGTGTTGTGGATTAACAATGGGAGGAAATCAATCATCGGGTTTAAATTAAGTCCAGTTGGGGCCCTGTAAGTCATTAACAAAAGACTTTGTTTGATTTAACTTTGAAATCAATTGTACAAAGCTTTCGCTAAGTGCACCTGCCGCAGAACCTCAACTCCGTTGCCTTGCTTTCTCCTACGTGTTATTTGAAAACATGAATGACATTTTCTGAAAAGTGGAACACGTTAAAAGTAACACCCACCTGGATATTTAGTAGATGCGTGCTCGGTGATATGATTGAAGTTTAGCATTATTTTAATTCTAGAAATCAGCAGTTGATAAGCAGTCTGTGAAAGGAACATCGCAACAAGCTGATGTTGTCAACGCTTCCACAAGGCGTAAGTCGTTATTTTTCTATTGTTTATTCTTCGTCTTCTTCTTCTTCTTCTTCTTCTTCTTCTTTTTATTATTATTATTATTATTATGTGATGACTAGAAGTAGATAAGCTTAAAATTTCCCAGCAATTAACTTAACTTAGAGCGTAACGCAGAATTGACTTACTCATGAGCTAGCCAGAGACTTTTTTCTACCCTTCCACATTTCTCAATTTATCAAGTAAAGTTGCATCCTCCTTACATTAAAAATTCAGTGTTTTTTTTCCTCAGTTTTAAACCTCTTGGTCAATAAAAGAACCAATAAGTATTGAAAATTTGGCGGAGAGCAAGTTGATCATTCCTCGGTGAAATGGCGACTTAGTTTTCCTTTACAAGAATTTTTCTTATAGCAATTTGAGTTTTGAGTTTCCAGCCTTATGCATAGCCTGCGAAAACATCCGTTTCTCCTCGCTCTTCGCCGCAGGCTACCTTATGCATGCGCTCGGAGTGATGTTTGCGACCAGTATCTGTTAACCCATATTAGTAAGATGTATAATTTTAGTGAAACGGAGAGGGAACAAGTAAGTAAGTTATTATTTAATGGTCTGTAACTAAAGTGCGTTAGGTCTCACTGAGGACCGCGAACATTGCACTGACATAGATCCTCCATCTTCAGCTACACAAACGTAGTATTAATAATGTTTGCAAGACTGGCTGTTTTGCTTTGAGGAACATCGGAAAGATCTGAAACTATCAGTCAATCGGTGACCGTTGGTGCAAGCGTTTGTGACATCAGAACTTGACAGGAGCAATAAGTACTGGGAAAACCATCCCGGCGAAACTTGATATGCTCGATTAGCTTCCATTGCTCTTCAAACACTGAAGTAAGGGTCGTGTCGGAGCGTAGCATAAAAATGATAATCAAGAGCATTA